CCGAGAATGTGTATGTCTGTGTGTGTGTGTGTGTGTGTGTGTGTGTGTGTGTGTGTGTGCCTGGGGAGGTTAAAAGGCATTGGTTCCCCTGAAACTGGAGCTACAGATGATTATGAGCCAGCATTTGGGTTCTGGAAAGTAAACTAAACCACAGTCCTCTGCAAGAGCAACAAGTGCCCTTAACTGCTGAGTGAGCCATCTCCAGTCCCTTTGCTTTTTTTGTTTTGTTTTGTTTTGTTTTGTTTGAGACAGGGTTTCTCTGTGTAGCCCTGGCCAACCTGGAACTTGTTTTGTAGACCAGACTGTCCTAGAACTCACAGAGATCGCCTGTCTCTGCCTCCCAAGTGCTGGGATTAAAGACCTGAGCCACCACCACCCAGATCTTTCACCTTACTTTTTGAGTCTCTCCCTGAACCTGGAATGGAGTGATCAGCTAGACTGACTAGCCAGTGAGCTCCAGCGATCTCCTCTCTGCGACCCCAGTACTAGTGTTTACAGGGGCACACTGCCATCGTCTGGCTTTCACATGGGTGCTGGGGATCCAAACTTAGGTCCTCAAACTTGAGCAGTAAGCACTTTGCCCACCCAGCCATCTCCCCATCCTCTGCTTGCCAATACTCTTATTGTTCACTTATAGGTCTTCATGATGGCCTGGCCTGCAGCCAGGCCCTGGGTAGCTTGTAGTTTCTGGGTCTCTGGCATATATGAGGAGAGGATGGGACACAGTCATAGATATGCCTACATTTGGGGTGACTGATCGCCCAGTGTCCTGACTGGAAAAGTTGCTGTCGAATGAATGACAGACACCTGCTTCTGTAGCTGCTTCTCCGCCTCCATGCAGATGTAAATAGCCATAGCTTTCTGGGCCTTTTTGTTCTCCACAGTCTCGAATTTCTGAAAATTCCAGAATCACCGTCTACATTATTTATACAACACTAGAGTATCTCCTTCAATGTAACCCTTGACTGAGAGGCCACTGTCTGGGGCCCTTAGAATCCATTGACTTATATGTTGTTATGTCATTCAGAAGCAACTGGCAGTTTTTGCTGTTTTGAAACAGGTCTCATGATGTAGCCCTGGCTGACCTGAAACTTGGCTATGTGGAACAGGCTGGCCTTGAACTCAGACAACCATCTGCCTCTGCCTCCCAAGTGCTGGGATTAAAGGTTTGTGACACCAAGCCCAGTTCAACTAGCTTTATAGGATGATAGAAGCCAAGCCTGGTGACAGGGATCTGTCATCCTAGCTACCCCACAGGCAGCAGAAGGATTGCAAGTTTAAGGTCAGCTTGGTCTACAGAGAACAATGGAATTATTGTTCTGTACTGAGCTGCACTAGGTTAGGGTGTTATGATACAAAGCACAATGTAGGTGTCAAATCATCACAACTGAAAATTTTTATTTTATGTGTCTGAATATTGCCTGTGTGCATGCATGTATATCACATATGTACCTGATGCTCGTGGAGAACGGAAGAGGGTGTCAGATCCCCTAGAACTAAAGTTGTGGATGACCATGAGCCCCCATGTGGGTTCTGGGAACCAAACCCAGATCCTTTGCAAGATCAACAGCCCCTATATATAGTTTTTTAAAAGATATATTTACTTTTATGTGTATGACTGCTTGCATCGTGTACATATGGAGGCCAGAAGAGAGCATCTGATCCCCTGGAACCGGAGTTACAGCCAGTCTCCGAGATCCCAGGTTCTGCAGGTCAGGAAGTTGAGGCATCGAGGGACGAATGTTTCAATCAGGAACACAGAGGGGATTTCTTTGTTTCTCCTTCTAGATGATGCAGGATCACGGGCCGTATCAGCCTAGTGGTGACTATCAAGGGGGAAAGAACCGCTGCTACTCACTGAGGACTAAGCAGTTGTCTGACTTCCCCTGGGGAGACATGAACATATGTCTGCTTACCCCGGGGAGGGCAGGGATGCCAGACTGAAGAGACAGTTCCACCAAAGTCTAGCTTGGTGAACCATTGTGGTGTTCCTCATGGGAGCATGGGTCAGGGTTCACTCACAGGGGCTCTGATGACTCAGAGGCAGCTACATCGCTTAAAACCTGAATCCAGCATCCATTCCTGGAGCTTCCAGCACAACTCGAGGGCAGCTTCACTGAAGAGAGTCTGTTGCCCCAGCAACCCCTCACTGTTTTCATTACCTGGGGAGTCATTAGCTTCGGTATCTCACAACTCTCCTTCTAGCGCTGCGCTACACAGTAGCAGTGCACGATCGGAACCTAGGCTTACCTCATTGTGGTAGGGCATTAACTCGGGAACCTTTGATTGTCAGTGAGATAAACTCCACTCAGGTTGCTCATGGCAAAATATGGACTTCATGGGAAGGCATCAAAACTAGAAGCCCTCAGAAAGCAGAGACTGGGATGTTAGCCAGCCGTGTGTCTGTGTCATTTCCCCCACTATACAGACTGGCTTCTTCCACTTGGCAGGAAATAAGATTGTTGCAGCCCTGCACTCAACTCTTCACTGTTTTGTCTTCTAATTTCATCTCTAAAGGAAGAACTCTGACTTAAGGTTCCCATCCTTAGAAGCATCAGGCTCTGATTTGAGCCATGTGGTTAGGGTTGAGGGGGGTAGAGCCTAAAGGAAGAGCTGTTTAACAGTTGTTATTTTCCTGTGATGGCACTGAACCTAGGTCCTTGTGCTAGGCCAGTGATCTACCACCCAACTACATCCTCTTCCTAGTTCTGGGAAATGAAGAACACTGCATAGACCAGTTAGGCCTCAGAGCACCTGATGTAAAAATGAGATTGAGGTTGTCACATACATTTTTCAGTTAAAAGCAACACCCTAAATTTGTCTGTTTTGCTGATTGGTTTGAATTTTGATACAAAGTCTGTGTAGTCTTGGCTGGAACTCCCTATATAGACCAGGCTGGCTTTGAACTCACAAAACTCCGTCTGCCTCTGCCTCCCAAGTGCTGGGATCACAGGTGTGAACCATCACATCTAACTTGCCATGCCATTCTAAACTAGGGATTACCACATTATATATTTTCTCTCTCATTTCCCCCTTTGCTCTCCTTATTTGCTGGTGTGAGTTATTGTGTCATTTGGTTAGTAGGTTGCAGAATGGTGAACTGAAATCAAGTTGGAACCAAAAATAGATGCCTTCATCATTGTGTCAGTAATTGCTGTTATATGGTTGAAAATTGAGTCCCTTGGGGCTGGAGAGATGGCAGCGGTTAAGAGAATTTTCTGCTCTTATAGCGGACCAAGCACCTCCAGGGCTTCTGATGTCCTCCTCTGACTTCTGACGTGTGCGTGCACGCACACACATGCAAACACACACACACACACACACACACACACACACACACGAGAGAGAGAGAGAGAGAGAGAGAGAGAGAGAGAGAATAAAATATTTTTTAAAAAGACAATTGGCCTAGCAGTAGTACACATGCCTTTATTCCCAGCACTCAGAAGACAGAAGCAGATGGATCTTTGAGTTCCAAGCCAGCCTGGTCTACAGAGTGAGTTCCAGGATAGCCAGGGCTGTGGTGTTATTTTGTTTGTGCTTTAACAAATAAAGCTTGCCTGAAGATCAGATTTCAGAGCTAGCCACTAGTTAGCCATAGAGGCCAGGCAGTCATGGCACACACTTTAATCTCAGCACTCAGGAGGCAGAGTTAGACAGATCTTGGTGAGTTCAAGGCCACCCTGAGCTACAAGAGATTGATCTAATCTAAAAGAGAAACAGAACCAGGCAGTGGGGGCTCACACCTTTAATCCCAGCACCAGGGAAGGGGAGACAGGAGTGATATGGCTGGGTGGAGAGAGGAGTATAAGGCAGGAGGAGACAGGAGTTCATTGTTTTCAGTCCGAGGATCGGTGGTGTTAGAATTCAGTAGAGGTAAGAACTAGTGACTGGCTGCTCTGCTTCTCTGATCTTTCAGCATTTACCCCTATATCTGACTCGGGTTTTTTATTATAAAGACCAATTAGAATTTGAGCTACACGGAACTACATAGAGAAACCCTGTCTCAGAAAAAGAAGAGGGGGAGAAAGAAAGACCGTGCCCCCATCTCCACATATTCCCCATCCCTCACCCCACCCGGCCTCCCCAGAGAAGGAGAAGGAGCAGCAAGAGGATCTTAGTAATAGAACTCTGGGAAGAACCCACTGGAGTCTGTGAACTTGAACCCTGTCTTAATTCCTCTTCACTTGGACAAAAGCACAGAAATCCACTGCGCAGGTGCCATGAAGGAAGAAGGCCCTGCCCCTCCAGTACTGTGTATAAGACATAAACCCTGAGCCCTTTCCCGGATACACTGTCTTCTCTTAGAACAGTAGTTCTCAACCTTACTAATGCTGCGACTCTTTAACACAGTTCCTCATATTGTGGTGACCCCCAACAACCATAAAATTATTTTCGTTGCTACTTCATAACTAATTTTGCTGCTATTATGAATTGCAATGTAGATATGTTTTCTGATAGTCTTGTGTGGTTCCCTAGGGGGTCGCGACCCACCAGTTGAGAACCGCTGTCTTGGCCGGTAGCCAGGTGTGGTAGCTAACACCATTAATCCAAGCTCTACAGAGGCAGAGACAGGCTGATCTCTCTGTACATTGGAAGCCAGCCTGCCTACAAAATGAGTTTCAGGGAAACAAGCAAAACAACAAAAATCCACATAGCCTTCACCAAATGAATGTAATCAAATAAGCACAGTATGTGAAGAAAAAGAAAGTTCTCTTCCCACCTACCCCCGAGATAGGATAGAAGAGGGAATAACCAGATTCAGAAGGGTCCTCAAGGATCCAAACTACGAGTTAGTGGGAACGAAGGGAGAATTTTCAGCAGAACGGTGTGTGCAAAACAGGAAAGGAGAGGAGCGGTGCAGCAGCGGCCTCGCGGAGTTCCCGAGCCACCGGGAAACCCAGGAAGGAGGCACATAGTCGCCATGTCTGCAGCAAGGCGAACCGATGGATCCGAGGCGCCCGGCCAGGATGGTTAGGAGATGACACCGGACCTGGAAGGATCGGGTCAAGCCGCGGGAGGAGGCAGTTCCTGCGCAGAGAACCGAACCGGCCCACGTGAGTCAGGCCGCCCCGCCCAGCCACGCAGACGCCGGTGGACCCTGCAGTCAGGCCAGGCTGGGCGAGCGGTGCGGAGACCACACAGCCACAGCGACGCTACGACGCGTGCACGCACAGGCCGAGGAACCCGCGCTCCCCCGCTGCGAGGAACCGTAGGCAGTGTTGCAGGAGCCGGAGCCTCGAGGCCGTGAGTCCGGGCCCTGGTGGGGGGCCTGGGGCCCAGCCTCGGGAGAACGCGGAGGGAAGCTGCCCCTGCAGAGATTAGGGTCACGGTGCTGTCTCCTGCCAATTCCTATCCTGCACCCCTCCGCCCCCTACACTGTGGTTTAGCTGGAGGGGGTGGGGGAGAACGGTCCAGATCACTTTCCCAACCGAGATCCTCAGCTCAACTCCCATCCCGCCTCACCCCAGCTTCCTTTATGAGCCCGGCCTGATTTTATAGGAAAAAAATCTTAAAATTGAGGTGAGGTAAGATCTTCGGGCCTTTTTTCACAAAGGGGCGAAGCATCTGTCCCCACCTCACTCTCAGGACTTGTGCCCATTGCTGGGTGTGGGGAGGGCCCCTGCCACCTACTGGGGGAGGGGGTTTGCTTCCTAGTGGCTGTTTGACTTGATAGTGTTCCTCACTCAGGAGTCCTCAATTCTTCCAGTCATGGTAATGTGGTCAGTAGGACCACTTGTGAGTTTAAACCCCAAAAACGATTATTAGGGACGGGAGTGAGAGACAGTGACTATGTCCCAGGAGCACTGAGAGGGAAGGGACAAGCTTGCAAGAGAGGCTTGTCATTGTGGGCTCAGGAGGGATGGGCTCCTTATGGAGGAGGAGAATGAGACCAGGTCTGCAAGCCAGGGTCCTCTGCAGTAGCTGCCATTTGTCTTCCGAAGTGCAGGAATCCCACCATAACCCTCATTCACTCTCAACAAGTAAATACAGATGCCTGCTATTTCTGGGTATGCGCTAGAGCAGTGGTTCTCAACCTTCCTAATGCTGCGACCCTTTAATACACTTCCTCATGTTGTGAGGACCCCCCCAACCATAAAATTATTTCATTGCTACTTCATAACTGTAATTTTGCTACCTTTATGAATCATAATATAAATATCCATGTTTGGCGATTGTCTTTAGCGATTGTCTTAGGTGACCCCTGTGAAAGGGTTTTTCGACCCAAGGGGCTGTAACGCTCAGGTTGAGAACCACTGTGCCAAGAGGTTATATAAAGGAGTTCTTAGTCTTGGCCAAGGAGTCAGATTAGAAATGATCACAAGATCGTTTAAACAAACAGTTCCAGTTGACTAGGCATTTGCTCTCCATCAACAGTTTATGCCAGGGATAGGAAACACACGTGGATAAGACAGAGTACACGAGGGCAGTGTGGAGCCGGAGGAGTCATGGTTACTATGTATACCATATGTATCAGGGCAGGGCACAATGTTTGGCAGGCTTCAGACAGGAGGATTTTAAACACGAAAACAGAATTTTCTAGGTGGAGAGGAGGCGCTTAGAGGGAGTAATGGTGCAGAACACTGAGGCCAGATGAATACTGTTGGAGAGTGGTGTGCCTGGGGGCCTCTGAGTGGTTTGGTGGGATGAGAGAGGGCCAGGCAGAGCAAGAACTGCAGAGGTCTAACAGTTCTTTAGGGGCAGCGTTCAAAGCCATTTCCAATCAAATTCACACATTTTGCAAGAAGGGTAGTTTGGCTTTATTGAGATAGTTTTGCTATGTAGCCCAGGCTGGCCTTGAACTTGCAATCCTCCTGCCTTAGCGTCCAGAGTGCTGAGATTACAGTTATGAGCTATCCTACCTGGCTGAATTCATATATTTAGTATATATTATGTATATATAAAATATATACAATATATATCTCATATATCTGTTTACACACACACATAGAGAGAGACACAGAAAGATATTTTGTTTTGCTTTTGTTTTTTTTTGTTTGTTGTTTATTTCTCTGAATAGCCCCAGCTGTCCTGGAACTTGCTCTGTAGACCAGGCTGGCCTCGAACTCACAGAGATCTACATGCCTCTGCCTCTTTCCCAAGTGCTGAGATTAAAGGTGTGAGCCACTAGCACTCAGCTGATACATGTTCTTTTTAAAAAAATATTTGTTGTTATTTAACTGGGCATTATTTTAATAATTAAAAAATATTTGCATGCGTGTGTATGCACACATCAATGTGGGTGCCCAAAGAGGCCAGAGGAAGGTGTTGATATGGATCTAGCTTTACAGGTAGTTGTGAACCATCCAACTTGGGTTCTGGGAATTGAATCTGGATCCCCTGGGAGAGCCACCAGTTCTCTTAACTGCTGAACCATCTCTCCATTCCCTACATTTATATTTAATTGGAAGAGGGTCAGGGAAAAGTCTGTGACAGTCATCTGGACAAAAAAATGACCAAAATCAAATTGTCAGACAGTGAACAGTGTATGGGGTGGGGGTGAGGGTTGAGGAAGAAGGGTAAAGTAGTCCAGGGTGCTCCTAGGTCCTGGTAGATTGACTGAACAGGTAGCAGAGCTCTCTTGCCTGAGGACCCTGAAGAGGAGAGCCGTTTGGGTGTGTAGGGTTTGAAGAGACTTTGGGAGGTTGCAATGTTGAATAGCAGTTGTATCTGGGCTGGACACATAGTTATGAGACACCTGCACATGATGGTTCTTGAAGCTACCACAGAGAATGAAGTGATCTGGGAAGAAGCATGCAGAGACAGTCATCCTTTTTTTTTTTTTTTTTTTTTTTTTTTTTTTTTTTTTTTCTTTTT